TTTTTATAGGATTATTACTTTAAATGCTTTTTTTGCTTTAAGGTGTTTTCATTTTACTAGATGTGTATGGTTAGTACAAGAACCTGTTGGATCTGTTTAGAGTAGCAAGTAAGTAATGAGCTTTCATGGGGGTTTTGGTATTTGCTTTTGGAATTTTTCCACTGTATAATTGTATTTTATATGGGGGTTATTTATTTTGGGGAAAATATAGGCCAGAACTTTTTAATGTTGTGTAAGCAGCTTTGTTTCCTTTCACGTACCTTATAGCACAATTTTTTATACTGTGTTTCATCACAAAGATAAAATAGATTTTTTTTTCTTTATCTAAAGAAAAATCCCCAGGGTACTTAAAATCTTAAATCTAACAGCTGTAAATAAAATGTAAATAGCAGAATATACGTGTGCCACTACCAAAGGTGAATAAATATGTTGAAAATCTCCTCTCACAAAACTGTCTCACTTGGTTTGTAGAAACCTTGTCTCATATATTGAAACACTCACCAAAAGACTTAACAACATCTAGCAGCATGTAAATAAAGCTCTGTAATTCACAATTCTTGTGTATTTTTCAGCCTTTTGTGTGATGATTGGTAAAGGGACTTTAGTAGATTGTTTCAGGATTGAAGATGATGATTCAAACTGTGCAGCAGTGAATATGAAATGAAAATTCATTATGATTTTAGCAGATGACCAGCTTATGCTTGGCATCTTAGATGTACTTTATTGTTTTTTGGTCACTGTGGCTTTCACATGCTAACACCAATCCCAAATTATCTCCTTTTGGTGCAGTACCTTGCATATAATCTCACCAACAAGAAATTCTGTAACTTATGTCTGTGCTTCCATAACCTGTACTTCATTTCAGTGCCTCTATATTAGCTTTTCTTATGGTGTCCCTAAGTTTAATTTTGATAGAGCAAAGACTATGTAATTCCCAGTGGAGAACGTGTTACTGCTTTCTGTGGAGCTAAAACAATGCCTGGTACATCCTTTACAAGGACAGAGTTCTGATCTCATCTAGATAGGCAAGTATTGCTGTGTTCCTTGTCACATTCACTTAGTAGCTGATTTTACAGGGTTCAGTACACAGCAATAGGGGCTGGGATATCTTGTGTCAAAATCAGGTCAAGGGACTTGATCAGCTACAGTTCATTTCCAAAGTGGGGACAGATGTGGTGCAGTATGTTCCAGGAAACTGGGAGTCAAAACTGAAATTTCAGCTGTTAATAACCCATGAAATACAATTGACTACAATTATCTGTATTGAATGTCACTATTTAATAGTTGACATTCATGAGAATCTGTACTGTGTTGACATTTGAACAGACACTGCATTATATTCATCTTCAGCAGCAACTATATAGATATCTGTATAGAGTTGCTGTGCATGTTTATGATTGTGCTGATTAGAGAAATGTATAAAAGTCAGGATATAGAACTGATTGGCTTGATGTGTGATGATTAAAACTGGTTTTAGCATTCTACATAAGATTTTAAAATGGTTAACTGCTGACTTGTTCTTCCTAATAAGCTCTTATATATATTACTGAATGAGTTTTGTGAGTTTCACTGCAGTAATAACCATTCTATATGTTTGTGATTATTTGTTTTATATATGTTGACCTCTAGGTCATATTTTGAAGTACACCATCTCATATTTTATCTGTATTCTTTTATTTCTTTGTTTTCAGGGGTTTTTTTTCATCTATTTTGGACTTAATTGCCTTCTTAATTGTCAAATGTCTTGATTTCCCCTTCTTTATTGTCCCCATTAGCAAATACAATATATTTTCATCGTATGTGCCTACTTAAATGAAGGGTTACCTTACCTTTAGGTATACTTGCAAAGAGAAAGCAGTCTGCTATCAGTTATTCCTACAGTGTTAATGTACACTGGGATACTCCATATTGTGTTTTAATCACTAATAAACATGTCAAATGAATCTCATTTCTAATACATCAGCAAGTACAAATACAAATAATATATAAGTTGATTTTGACCAAAATATGAACATAGTTTTGAGTCGTTGTAGATAAACTTTATAAAATACCTTGTATCCCCTCACAAAACGAGAGCTCAACATACAGCTCTTAAATGAGAGGGGCTTCTTTTTCTCTTCAAAGTTTAATATGCATTCTTCCTTTCTTTTGGTTGGACAAGCTGGTCCAAAGCAGTTTTTGCTGGCTCACCATAGCTGCTGTCCCAGGTGGTGCCAGGAGCCAGGGAACATTCCTGAAGTGCGGCAGGGCCTGATCCTGCAGGTGGCTGTGCCAGGGTGTGTTGCTTGTGCCGTTCCTCGGAGACAGTGCTGCTTCCATTTTAGGGCAGAAACACCAATGATTAGAATAGGGAAAACAAATTATTTTAGTAGCCTGCACTATGATTTACTTGAAAAATCAACTTGAAAATATCTCATGTTGATAATTGAATTTCTTTGTATTAAAGGGAGGAGGACACTGACACCTTTTGCAGTGCAATAGGCTGTGTATTTGGGTAACCAAGAGCTGTCTGTCTGTATTAAGCTTCATGTTACTAGGTACTTCATTTAGATCTAGTTTGGTTTCCTACTACCAGCTCTAATCCTAGTCCTGCTTTACTCCTAGCACTACAACTCTTCTGCAGCTCCTGCATTGTTTCATTACCCCAGAAATTCAGACACCTGTGGGGTACCTCCTCTAAGTCCTGCTCCTCAAGCGTGTTAAGATCAAGCAAAAAGAATTTATTCTAATGGTCTGAAAAGCCTCATAATGTTATGGGAGGACTACAATGTGTAATCATTCAATTTGTGATTGTCTTCATACTCCAAGTGAAGAAAGAATGCCAGTTCTTTGGAGTAGAGGCCAATAATGATTTAATCATGAGGAAAAAGGAGAAAAGCTAGTTTTCTTAGAAGTAAAAGAAACCTTATGTCTCTGTCATATCTGACAGCAAAACAGTAGCAGAATGTTCTGGATAAAGATGTGTTGTGAATCTTCAGTGTTTTATTGCTGTAGAAGCCTAGTTGAAAGGCAACACAATATCCACTGCCCAGTCCTACAGGTTATTTGGAAAGAGAGAGTCTGGATAGTGTGCCCAAAATTATAAATCTGAAATGTGATGATCAAAGTGTTCTTTACTAATAGAGAATTCAAGCTTTGGTGCCAACTTGAGCATGTCAAGAAATGTAGGTCTGGTAGTGCCCTTAGTTTGTAAGGTTTCTATAAAATGTAAACTCAAGTGCTGCAGTGGCAGTAAGTTCAGCATCTCTGCTTCCTTTGTTTCATCACTTTTCTTTTTTCATTAGTTTATTAATGTTTATGTTTCTTGTGAGTCTGAGGGTTTTTTAAACCTAAGTTTATTAGGTTTGTTATTTTGTAGGACTAAGTTCGTATTTTTACTCAAATTTAAACTTTGTGATTAATCTGCATGTGTTCCCTTTTCAGTTCTGTGTGAATTGTGTTCTTTGTTATCATGCTTCAATGTGAGGGTGACTGAGCGCTGGAGCAGACTGGCCAGAGAGGTGGTGGGGTCTTCCTCACTGGAGATATTCAAAACCTGTCTGGATGTGAACCTGTGCAACCTGCTCTGGGTGACCCTGCTTTAGCAGGGGGGGTTGTACCTCCTTCCAGCCTGAACCATGCTGTGTGGGTTTTTTTGTTGCTATTCTTTTGTTTTGTTTGTTTGTTTTATCACATTGGGGGCTTTTGCTAACAGTTCTGTCTTTTTGCCTCTCTATAACAAAAAACAATTTATAGTATAGTGTCCTAAAGTATTTTGACTTGCAAAGAAAAGCTGACATTTTAAAACATTGTTACATAAGTTTAGCCTATGAAAATTGAACATTTTAAATTTATATGTTCATTGATCAGAATGCAAATAATAAGTTTGTGAAATTAGTAAGTTGGTAATATACAGAACAGGTCTCCTGCTGTAAGTCCCATCAGAAAGAGGTGTTGCCTTCTCTGGAAGTGTCTTTCCTGTTAACATCAGCACACATGAGGGATGGATCTATGTAAGTAAATATGTAATAATAATCCTCTGTGGCATTTAAACATCTGGCATATGATTTTAAAGTGTGCACAGAAATTACCAGAGTTAAAATTAAATGCAGTTAAATCTGTGCAAAGCCTGAAAATAACAGTTCTGGATATAAATATTTAAACTTTCTTGAAGTCTGATGTATCAATTATGGCAGTGGTGAAGACAGTAGAAACTCCAGTGTTTTAACTGCCTGTGAAAATGGCACAGGGCAAGTGCAGTGTAATAAAGTCTTGCAACTTTAGATTGCACATATAAATTATTTTTATGCTGAGTGTTTAAAATCTAAAGCCATAACAGTTTTTAACCTCAGGAATCATGGAATCATGTTGATGAGAAAGAACAGTACTGTAAAGCCACTACAGTATTTACTGATTTATTGTCTATGACATACTGTATCACGGTTTAAAATGTTTTTACAGTACATCACAAGCTACCAGAGACATCATCACCCATACTATATATTCTGCATAAAGAAACTGTAGATCTGAAGGAGCTTGTTAGTGTAGATCTATTCTATTTGTTTTATTAAATGCCTGCTTCCATTTTAGCAAGATAGCAGTTGCTTTAGTTAGTTTGGGTTTTTTTTTTTTTAATTGCCAGTTACCACAGACAGGTAGTAATTTTCTCTGCAGCTTCAGAAACAAGACAGTAAACAAATAGCTGATGAATACTGATGTTTTTTCACAGAGTGGATGCTTCCTCACTCCAAACTGTAATTCTGCAACACATCAATTTTTAGCCAGTAAGTAAGAGCAACAAATGATTGATTTATCCATATACTTTTTATTCCTATTAATTATGAATGTAGCTGTTTGCTTTAAAACATTACTCTTTGCAAGTAAAATAATTTGTTAATAATATTCAACTTGTTAATAATGAGCCCCGAGTTTGCTTTTTTTTTGTTTTCAGAATCAGTGGGAAAATGTTTTTGTCACCGTATGCAAATATTTATGTACCTCCGTTGGAATGTTGTCCTTAACTCAGCACACTATATTATTAAAAGTGAAAGAAGTAGTGAGATGTAAAAAAACTTAACATGCTGACTTTATTAATACCTGATTTTTTTTTTTTCCATTTGAAGCCTTTAGAATGTATATTCTGTATTAAGCATATTTAATTTGGAGAATTTGTGGGAGGAAAATGCAATGAATAATTTTTTGGAGTTACATGAAAAATGTTGACAGGTTTGAAATACAGCATACTAGTTTCCTACTGAGATTCATACTTACTACAATGTGATCTGGTGTATTATCTGTAGAGAATGTCTTGTTCATCAGACAAACAAAAAGATATTCAGCAGATTGTTTTATTGAACTCTTAATACATATGAAGAATCATAACGCCAGCACTTCTGCTACATTGTTGTCATTGAATAATAAATAATTGCTGTAGCTGCACAATGGGATATGTAGCAATGCTGATGGTGGCAGTCTAGACCTGAGCTGAAGTGGATTATTTTGAAACATAGAGCAAAAAGGTACATACAGGGCTTATGTTTTTGTGGGAATCTATGCAAGGCACTTGATGGTACTTAGACTCCATATTTGTAAAAGTATATATAGTAAAGCACTCTTCTTCAAATATGGCAGTGAAATCAGTACTTTCACAATGAATAAAGCAACCTAGACTTGGTGGATAATTTGCTGATGCTGCATCCCCTTCTCTTCCAGTTTTGCTCCTAAGTGGTAAAAATGGGTTTTATTAGTACTTTCTAAGGGACTTAAATATTTTTAAGCATTTTTCTCCTAAATGAGCAAAATAATTCAGAAGTTTTTGCTATCTTTGATGAAAACAAAATTTTTAGATCCCTTATTTTGGTAATAATTTGTGACAATTAGCATCAAGGAAGGTTCTTATTAAACTTGGAGGAAAAACACCCAAAATTTACAACATGGAACTGCAGCACCGGTTGTCTGGAGAGGTTATGGATTCTCTCGTCTTTGAGTTACTCAAAGCTTGCCTAGACAGGTCCTGATCAACCTAACTTGACTCTGTTTGGAGTAGGGTGTTCAGACTTCATGACCTTCAAAGTTTCTGTGCAAATCAAGGTGTTCCCCAATTGTAGCATGGTTATTCCAGCTTGAGAGAAGGTAAGGTGCAGAAAAGAGTGCATTTAGCAAGACAGATCAGTAGTAGCTGATGACAGGAAATAATTCTGCATTTACATTGCTAAAAATGGAAAATAATTCTGCAATAATATTTTTACTAAGAGAAAGACTTTGAACAGAAAAAAAGTCTTTTAAAAGACTTTTTAACAAAAAATTTGAACCATCAAAAACAGTGAGCAAAATCCCACAGTTCTGATAGGTGGGAGTTTTTTTGCCTTAGACTTTAGGTGCAACAGTGGCTTTGCAAATCCTGTTAGCAGCAAAGTGGTAAAATTTCAACTACTACAAGGAAGAAAAGGCTAGAGGGGAAAGAGAAATGCTAGATATTTTCTAACTCTCTGCACATCTTAAAAAGATTACCCTAAAACTGCTAATGAAGTTATTTAAATGCTTGATTTAGTGCCCGTGTATAGAATGCATACTTTAGTGTAGGCACCTATGGTATCACACTGGCTGTACACTTAATATAAGCTGAGCTGAAGCCTAGCCATGTACCAGTCTAAAACTTAGTAGCTGGAGTTTCAGAATTTGGCTCAATGACCCAGCAGTATAGTTCCAGCTCCTGTTTTTCTTTGGGAGTATTTGCCTGGGTAAAAACTATGAACCTCTAGTAGTGTTAAGATAGAAGTGGAAGAACTTAGGAAATAATCAGTGTGTAATAAGTGTAGATGACATTCCTGATGTGCTGAGAAGCATTTGATCCCCCAGATATATACTTTCAAAATACCACTCCGTAATTTACAGTTGTCTGCCTTACTGATAAATGCTTTTTAAATTTCTACAGTCACTGCACCCTTTGACTCCATAGGTTGTAAAGCTTGAGCAGGAAAGACATTGCAGGAAAGAATTATGAGAAATGTGTAGTTTTCAGTCACAGCTCTAGTCTTACTATTTCTTTCTTACCTATATTTTTACGTAACAAGTTTCCATTTAACAGAGTTGTTTTTAAGCTTTTTACCTTGCCTCTGGCAGAACTGAAATGCCACTCTTCCAGCATATAGAACATAAGCTGTTCTTCACAATGGATTTCATGATTATGTTCTCAAAGTTCACTGTTCTTTAACCTTCAAAATGCCTACAAACTAATGTGTGAAAACTGCTGCAGATAGCATTAGAACTACTAAAATAGTTCTTTCCAGTTCGTCTTTGACCTACATCACATGCTTCATTCATTTAAATATGCAACCAGCATTTGCATTCTTAAAAATAAATTCTTCCCTCAGATATAGATAAATGACATTCAGTTATAGAAGGGTTTGCCTGTGGATACTAAAGTGTGATATACAGTCCTAACCATAGGAAATCACTATAATGTCTTTTTTAAACTACTTTGAATCTTAATCTGTGTTATTTAATGTATCTGAAATTGATGGGTTAATTGACATCCACCATGGAACAAAAATACTGTAAAGAACTAGACCACATCTCCTGGAGTAAGTCTTGCTTTCAGTGACTGCACATCTGAGTAATTGAACAGATATAATTTATCCCCAAAATATTAAAGGTCAGGTTGTTAATTTTGGCTTAAATTAATAATTCACTCAGGTTTTACATTGCCTAGTTAATCTTATATACTTGCTTAATTACTCTTTGAATGGTATGGAATTTTTGAGGCTTGTAGCCTCTGGAAATTATTTTTAGCTGAATTACTGTTTTAGCTATTTATATCAGTAAACTGTTTTATCCCAAATGATGAGTAAAAAGGGGATATGCAATAATTCCTCATTTCTCTAAGTTGTTGTTGTCTTTCAACAGAACTCATGAAAAATCTCCTCCTTCCCTTTTATTCAGTGAGGCATTTACTTTTTCTTTGCTGTGACTGCATAATGAGTGCCTGCTGAGACTGTGTGTAATTGTATGCATCAAAACCATGGGAGCTCAGACTTTAATCATAGGTCTCTGTGCACATGGAAAAAAAAAAGTTATGTGGGTGTTCTGCTTATATTGTGGCATTCTCCTTGGGAGTTGTTATCATTCCATATCATATTTTAAAAACATATATTTTTTTAAACTTTGATTGCATGTTGGTATGTGACTCAATATGAATCTCAGAAGACACCTGACCAACTGAATATATGATTTATAAATACAAAATTATAACCCATCATTCAGGAAAGGATTTGTATTCTGTCTTTTTTTTAAAAATCACATTTTTTGCTTGATTGTTCTCAAGCTTTTTGTATTTGTTCTTTGGTTTTTAAACAAAAACTTGAGTCTGCTTGATGCGTAGCAATTCTTCACAGGCTGTGTATACAGGTGTGCTGTTCAAATTCTCTCCAGGTGCCCAGGTGTAGATGACTTTTCCACATTCTGTAGTTCTTAGAATTATAGGTTAAAACCAGAAAGTTTCAAAATCCCATTGTACCATGAAATGTTACTCTTGCTATCTGCATATGCTGATGCTATTATGAGTGCTGGGGGCTTTTTCCAGCCTGGTTGGATGCCAGGAAGAAGTTATTGTATTGCCTGAGGCATAATAATGAGGGCACTATCTTGGACCTTTAGTTTCTCAAAACTGAGAAAGTGAGGAGTTTAGATGAAAGTTCAGCTTTCAAAGCAAAATCCAGTTGAAAAAAGAAATTTTAGTGTGTTAATACCTATGGCTTCCCTTAGAAGTATCAGGAAAGATGTACTGAATATCCCTGTCAGCCACAGAAGGTACTTTCCTACATCTTACTGCTTTGGTTAACAGGTCTTAAAGAAATTAGCAAACAAATAGCCGGAGTTTCAGTTCTTAGCTATATTTCATGTTTTCTAAAGGACAGATTCTGCAATGTTTCTAAAATCTTGTCCTTTGTTGGTCCTGTTGAGGGGACAGATAGAGCAATCACTCTGGATGACAGCCCCAGCAAATGCTGTGTGAAAAGCTGATCAGCTTATGATGTCTTTAGGAAAAAAGCTACCAGAATCAGTGAGCCTCTCTGACAAGACTTAAATTACTTTCGCTTTTGTAAAAGCTTTTGATTACACAGCAGCTGCCAAGATCTAAACATCCCCACCCACTTCAAGGCAGTTTTTCTAGTTACACACTTGGCAATGTTTGTAATTTTTCATCTACCCCCTAGCCATAATAAAAGGGTTTGCAGTGTTGTTTTTTTTTGGTGGGAAGAGAGGGGAAATACTGGTATTTAATTGAGAGATAACTCACAGGGAAGTTTCAAAGAATTGTGTGTGCAGGTAAAGAAAATTCCCTTTTCTTTGCATGCTGTGACAAGCAACTGTTTTGATCTTCTGGTGCCATCTATTTGGGAGCTGACTGCCATATAAATACAGCATATTGAGTAGGTACAAGGGATGTAGTGAATTAGTACTTTTCTCACTAATATCACTTTGTTATTCTGTTTTACAATCCAACTACATTTTCACAGAAAGATAGGTACATATTATATTAAGAGATGAAAGATTCCTTATTGATGATAATCAGTTTCTAATTAGACTGTGTGGTAGGACATTGAAACAACTGTTAGGAAATTTTATTCAGGCATTGAGTTGTACCTATATTTTTTTTGTCAGATTTATAGAAGTTTATATTTTCAATGCCTAGAAGTTTCTGAAATTAGTATTAATATTAAAATAGAAATGAAAGACAAATACTATGATTCAGTTAACATATAGTGCATGCTGGTATTGCTTTAAATATTAGTGTTATAACAAGAAAGTTACTGTTGGACCCCAAGTGAAAGCATTTGCAGCAGATAACTTCAGATGTTTATTTATCAAACGAAAACCAAGCTCTCAGCCAGCCCTTTTAGATCAGTCAGGTTTCATTAGCCTGTTTGATATCTTGCAGGTTCTTGTCTAGCTACAAATGCCTTTATGTTGAAGACAGGAAAACAGACATTGGTTTATTCTCTTACCTATATTCACTGGATGAAAGCACATATATTCAGAGATCCACCGCCTGAAGCAATGCAATGAGAGAAGTTTAAGCTCATAGCATTGCAGTTTGGTTAAAAAAAAAGGAAAAAGTAACAGCTTTTGAACATATTAAAGATGCATTTATTGCTCTGCTTTAGGGATTAAGATAATGTAATTCTAACTTGTGCAGAGGTCTGTGATTGCTGTGAAAAGCTTGCTTTGTAATTTATGCACTGTCATTTTTTGGGGGGGCACTCGATGTTGCAATGTACAAATATGTTTTGACTACTTTTTAAGGAAAAAAATGAAAATGAAAGTGTCAGGATTTTTTCTTAAGCTAACATGTCAATCACCTTTTGAAATGATTCTTTGAAAATTTTAAGCCATTTTAATACAAGAACCTTTTTTGACATAGTACAATGGATGAGTGAACCCGTTGTCAAAACTGCATTTACTATAATATGACATCCTTATAGTATCTTTGTCATCAAATTAAGATCAAATGCAAAAGGCTAATGAATACATTCAGTATTGAAGTGTATTTTCCAAGGGTTAAGTTTTCATTTCAACGGAAAAAAATTAGAGATCTGCATGCTTACACTATGGCTCCTCCATTTTTAAACTTCCCTTTAATAAGGAAGTATCTTGTGAAATTTGGCAGATCCCTCCATAACTATGAGATAATAACTATATATTAACCATATAAACAGTAAAATCCTGTTGTAGTTGGTACCGAATTATCTGACTTTTATTGCCACTGAATAGAAATGCCTAGTCTGGCTGCTCATAGAGTTCATGCTTGAAATTCCAGAAATAGCACTATGGAAGTAGACAATTTCAAAGGGGGCTATTCATCATCAGAAAGCTTTTTGACTGTTTGCTGACTGTTGGTCTTCACACTCTTTTACATTTGCAGTTTTCTTTGAAATCACAAAAGAGGCACATACTTTGTAAAGAATGTTTTTTATGCTTAAAAGGTGGGTGCACTAAATCATCATTTTGTGATTCAGAATTATGATTATCCTTGGAAAATGTGGATTACTTTAAATGTGAAGGAGAGATTGCTTTTAATATATAATGAGGAAGTATTACAGTAATGCTTCACGTCTTTGCTTATTGATGTGTGTGTCCCATATAGTGCTTCTTAACTAAATAGTAACAGAATGATACATCTAATGTCTGTACCAGTATTGTCCGATAATATCACTTACTAGTAAGTTCTCAGGACCCTCTGCTAGATAAGTTTATAAGTTGTCATGGTTTAAACCCAGCTTGCAACTCAGCCCCACAGGGCCACTCACTGGAGGAGAGAATTGAAAGGGTAAAAGTGAGAAAACTGAGTGGGTTGGTGTGGTGGTTTTTAGCACTAGCTAAAAATCACCAGAGTACTTACTCATTTCTTGCTGTGAGGTATCGATTAGGAGAAGGGCCAAATAGGCTTAAAACCTAAAGGGAATAAAGAAACTTTATTAATAGGACTACAAGAGTAAGAAACCAGAGTAAAACCTCCAGAAACCTTTTATCCCCCCCACCCAACCTTTTTCCTTTCTCAACTGACACTGTAGAGACAAAACCTGGGATGCTAAAGCAGTACCAAATACATGATAGTCTTTTCATTAGTCTCTGTAGGGAGAGGAGTTTTCTTTTGTCATTCCATGGAGAGTTCTTCACAGGAAACAATTTTCTGTGTCTTTTCATTTCCATGACTGGCAGCCACCTGGGAAAAAACTCTGCCATCATGCCTTCCTCCCATTTTTACACCACTCTGAGGTGTGTTCATGGGCCTTGAACTCAAGGGGTATTATTTAAAGGATGAGTTACTCAAAGGTAAAGGTTTTCTTCATCTGTCTTTGTGATCATCTCTGGGAACAGAGGTTTTCTTCTCTCCCTTGGGGCAAAGGGTCTTCAGCAGCTCTCTCTTTCTCTGTTCAAGCATCTCATGGGATCACAGTTACTCCACCATCTACTTAGCTCATCAATTGATATCTTTGCTCAGATTTACAGTTTGAATAGTTCATTTCCCCCAATATTCCTTAATGAATTAAAGAAGTTATTTTCCAGAACATTATTGTCCATCTCCATGCCCCTACCAAAATAATATTTCAGCTTATTAAAGCATCTCCTCATTCTCATTCCATCTGAGGCTTAACTCTTTTTTTAACTGACCTTGATGTTTCATGTTTTCTTTTACATGTTGAGTTCCCACTTTCCTCTCTCTGGAGATGGGATTAAGTCTGCAGGCCTCATCTGTGTAGTGAAAACTTTAAATCTGGCCCAAGCCATGCAGGTCTTCATGGTGTCTCATGGATTTCAGGTGTCTCTCTCAGCCCAGCAGCCACTGGAAGGCAGTGGACGGTTTTAGGCCTGGAGCTGTCTGTGCAGGCCATGGGGAGGTGAGAGGGTACCAGTGAGATGTCAGCAGCTGTGGCCTGGCCCAGCCTAGGGCCACAGCAGAGCCTGCCCAGGAGCTGCTGGAGTCTGGCCCGGGCCCCCAAGGCCGCACAGGCCATGGGGGAGTGGGGCCAGCCACACCAGCGCTCCGATACCTTTCAAGGTTGGAACAAAGAGAAAAGCAGTTACCAGGCTTGGGTTTAAAAGGTGGTATTCACAAAGGTAATCTTACTTTTCAGTGGTCTAAAATGCTGTCAGTTCTCAAAACTGACTAGCTATTGGCCTGATCTTAAGCGGAGAAGAAATTCCCAGCAGCCTCTCTCAGAGAAATCACTTCCATGGATATTTCCCACTTTTTTTCCTAAATGCCAAACTACCACAGTTGAATAAAGGCAGTTTAGCAGGTAAAGCAAAAGCCATGTGCACAAGAACCAAGGCAAGAACCTTGGCAAATCAAGGAATTCATTCCCCATTTCCCATGGCAGGGAGGGGCTCAGCCATCCCCAGGACAGCAGGGCTCCATCACCTGTAACAGTGACTTGGGAGGACAAACACCATCACTCCAAATCTCCCCTCTTCCTCCTTCTCCCCAGCTCTATGCTGGGCATGGTGCCATATGGGCTGGGATATCCCCTGGGTCAGCTGGGGTCAGCTGTCCTGGCTGTGTCCCCTCCCAGCTCCTCGTGGAGCTTCTTGCTGGTGGGGTGGGTGAGGAGCAGGAAAGGCCTTGGCTCTGGGTGAGAACTGCTGAGTGATAATGAAAACAGCCCTGAATTATCAACACTGTTCTCAGCACAAATCCAAACCACAGCCCCAGACCAGGTTCTATAAAGAAAATTAACTCAATAGAATCATTAAGGTTTGAAAAGACTTCCAAGATAATCAAGTCCAGTGTTCAACTCAATACCACCATGCCCACTAAACCATATTGTGGAGTGATAGCATTTTAGCTATCCCAACCAAAACCAGCACCTAAATGGTGTTAGTTTTGCAGCAGTGGAAATTGAGGCACACAAGGTTATTTGCGTTCAGATGGCAGAGCCAATGTGCATGCCTTCAAACCATGTACTTTTTTACAGTAGGAAACCTGTCATCTTGCACACTTTGGACAGCTCTTTCAGTTGTTATATCATGTTCCTCTACAGCCCATTTTCATTTTACTTGTGTCCACCCAGCTCCAGAGTAATTGTAGTGGCACAGAATGAATTCCCTAGTTGCCTTCCTCATTTTTGTCACTTGGAAAGTTGTATTCCAACTGATTTTCTGGACTTTTCAGTAAATGTAGAGTAATAGGGAAATAAGGTCACAGAAGGCCATTGAATATTGTAAAGCATATGGAGCATAGTTGCTAGAATCTGAGAAGTGTGTTGAAGATACTCCATTGCTGCATTAAGATTTGCAATGGAGTAGAAGCAAAAAGATGTGGAGGAAAGTGGTGACAGATACCTGTGCTGCTTTACAGGGGAAAGGAATCCCATAGGGCTTTCCCCAGCTGGTTGGTAATAAAGGATTCTTGTGATTGATGTCTCTGTGGAAGTGGCATGCATGGGAGAAACATTATAATTTTGTGAGTAGATGGAGATGCCTGGAGTCTTCATATTTCTTTCATCCCAATCAGTTCAAGATGCAGGCACAGTACTAAGCATAGCACAGGAGTCAATTCCTTTTGGTAGTGATTCCCCTTGCACTGCCTGTCACCTGCTAGTGGTGCTGCTGTACCTTGAAAGACTTGGGAAAATTGTTTTGGAGTGGCTTTCTTCTTTTTCTCTGGGAAATCCCACAGAATTCTATCGGTCAGTTACAGACCTGTTTTCAAAACCTACATGCATAATAACAGAAATACATCTAATACCCTTTCCTTTCTGTAGTCATAGATTAGCAGTAAGAAAAATGAGGGAATAAGTGTTAAAATATCCCCAGTAAACTGTTGTTCACATTTATGTTTTCATGATAGCCAGCCTAACAAATTAACAGTTCAATGAATTATAATGAGACTTGGAGGAGAGCTAATTGACTGACCTTCAACCCAAGAAAGCATGAAGAAATATGCATTGTGTGAAGAAAGCAACCAAAAGAAATAGCTGAATAATAATTTCCTCTGAAAAAAAATGTGTGGCTGCCAGTTTGTTACTGGGTCACACTTAGTTGTGTAAGATTACGCTTCTGAAGCAACAGGAGACCAAGGATGCCTTTTGTTCCCTTTGTTTTTTTCTAACTTATAACCTGAAATATAACCTGGTGAGTTTTCACGCTAAATATTCTGAGTACTTTGAACTCAATACCCAGAAGATTTAAGTTCCCTAGGCAGCAGTTATTTGTATGAGAGGGGACACTTTTTGAACTGTGATACAGCTGAAAATTCCACCTCTGGAACTAGAGACTGGATTTGTTCTTTTTAAGGGCATCCTGCACTAATCATTATCCCAGATTTTCAAAGGCAGGGTTTGGGGTTGAAAGTTGTGAAGTGGCAGTGTTTCTGGTAGATTCTATAGGAGTTACTGGACTTTTGTTATTTATAAGCAGACCACGGCATCAAATGAACTGCATGATGAGGAACTTTTCCAATAAAGAGTTTTATTTATAGTTGCATTTTAATAGTTATTCATTATGGTTAGGTAGACTACAGTTCCAGCATGTCTAATGTTTAAATAGGTGTTCTGAATGAATTTAAATATATTTTTCTGTAAAAGAAAAACTGGTAATTGTTTATCAGCTGGTTAGAAAAACTGAATTGCCAAATTTCTAAAGTTTACCTTACACTGATAGTAGAAATAGTACAGGGTAGGAAGTGAATGCACACAGGCCTGTGCTTATGGTGATGCCAGTGAGGAGCAGCCTGAAGATGATCAGCTTCCAATTAAAATATCAGTATCAAGTGTGACAGTGGTTTGTTGGAACAGAAGTTTGGGAACCAGTCTGTGTTAAACTGAAAGTGCGTAGAGATTTTAGATATGTGAATTATAATAATCAGTCTTGCCAACTTTGTGAGGTGCTGCATTAAATATTCCTAGTTTTACAAGACTCTGCAAGGGATCCTGAAGGATTTTTTAAAATAAAGTACAGGTCCTTAGTTTATTAGCCCGATATCAAGTTCTGAAAGACTGACTTAACAGAAGGAAAGCATAGCACTAGTTTTTAATGAAATGTCTTATAATTGCCTTATGGATATTATATTAGTTTTGTTTAGGTGGCAAAACGAACACATTCTTAATTCAGATACATGAGTTTTACATTGCATATACTTACAAGACTGTTTCAGGAGAAGATGTGAAATAAACATCTTTATTTTTTATACCATCATTACTCTTACTCTGTTATGTATTTAATGTAAGCAATGATTAAGGTGAAAAGTTAATACTAAATAGATACTAGTTAATATCTTAATGATATAGATACCCCTTCTTTTGAAGCAGCTGAAGCTAATATAGGTTCCCTTTTCCCCCTTACTTTTAGGCAATATTTTAATGGCAATCTTCATGCTGAACTTGGATCTGCATTAAATGAAAAGATTATATTTTTTTCTGTTTTAGCAGTATTTCCCATATGCTGTTTTCCTTTCCTTTTTAGATCATGATACTTTTCTGCTTTTTGGGCTTTTTTAAATACAGGAATCAAGTTTTTCTAAATTAGATTTTATTCATTGTGTTTTAAACCCCAAGTCTTGGGTATTTTTACAGAAGGTCCTTGATTGTCAAGAGCTTATAAAACAGATTAGGAGAGACAGAAGTTAATCTCTCAATTTTATGAATTAATTTTCTATCATATTCTTTATTTTAATATTTTGATTATGCTCTACTTGGTTAGTCTTAAGATAAAGAATAAACAGACACTGTCACCAGAGTTTATCCATACTTAACATTTTTTCCCTCAGTTACCTTGTGGTGAACAGCCACACAATTTTAATTCTGCTTGCTTTTAAAACCTCTATTCTAAGGACTTCAGTTTTTACAGATTTCTGTTATTAACATGACTTTTATTTCCCTGTCTGTGAATTAACCTGCTTGTAAATGCTTGTGCACCTCTATGATACTCAGTATGAATAATGTGAAATGCGAAAATTGTACATTGGTTTTGCTGTGCATTAGAGCATGAATTCTGACTGTGCGCTTCATTTGGTCTTTGAAAACAAAGTGTAAGTATCCTCTAGACGTGAGTAGGTTTCATAATATAGGATGTGAAGCAGTTTGTGTAGATGCTGTTTTTAAACTCTTGTCTCCTTTATTTTAATGTCTCCAAAGCTTCTGTGTCCCTTTCCTCAGCTGTCAATGCCTTGAATTCTCCTGGATATTATGAGAAATCAATCTACTTTGTTTCCAACACAGTAAGATGCAGGAAAGAATTTAAAAGGTTTCTAAGAAAAAATATTCATATTGGAGGTCTCTACACTCAAATGGTATATTCTGTTGATATCTGTGTACCTAGTTATCCCAACTTTGATCTAAGATGCAGTTGGAGTGAGAAAAATTGAATTGAGAAAGGACATTTGAAATTAAAATTAATTGTACCAAACAAAAGGACAAAATGGTTTTATTTAAATATATTCACGTGTACACATGCATACATAAAACAGTTAAGCAGAAAACATCTAGCTGGTTTGATAGTGAAATCTTCTATAAAAAAATTCTTCTGGAACATTATTTTCTCATAATCCATTTCTGCTAAACACAAGGAGCAGGTATAAAAATCCATTGAAACTTTAATTGGTTATATTTTCCATTTTTCCTGACTTTTTTTAAAAAAATATTGTTTTTAGTAATATATTGATAACCTGAAAAGAGACAGATAAGATATGTATGTGGTTCATAATTCTGGGAAGCAGAAATTCTGTAAGAGAAACTCAGGATTCATCTGTTCCTTTATTTAGTATCTATTTATAAGCTCCTTATGAATATATGTTTGTCTTAGAAGATTGTTCTCTCTTCATATACTGTCCACTCTCATGGGCAAGTCACCGAAGACCAGATTTCATTTCTGACATTTTTTAGGTAAAAAGTAAGGAAGAAAAAGAACTAAAAACACCTGTTAAGACAAAACCAAATATTTTAATATATTTTATAATAAAAGGCACAAAAGTTTACAAAGTTAATGTTTAAAAGCGTTTTGCAGCTTCATTCTGCTGCTCCACACAACCCTGTACCCGAATGAATGGATGTAATCCTCTGCTTAAGATAGGGCAACTTCTATTCTCTTGGTGTATGTAAAATGAGACTGGGACATACAAAAGTGTTCCATTTTTGTTTGTTTCTAAGGTGTTTTGACAGCAGATTCTTTGTTCTTCTCTCTGAACTGCTGACTCATGG